TATATATTAAAAGGATCTGTTGATAACACGATCGATAATCTTCAGTTATATAAAACCTTTCAAAGTGTTTTATCTCAAATTATACTTGACTGTCAAAACCTGATAAATTTTCTGGATAATTTAGAGAACGCAATTGTGTTTGCACACACTAATGCTTTACACAATTCAATAGTTTCTGTTTTAGAAATTCAGAAAATGATCGATTATTTAAAATCAATTTATGATATAAACGAATTACCAAAATTTAATAACACGTTACCTTATTACCAATTTTTAGGGACTCAAGCAAAATTTACAGATAGTAAAATAATTTTTGCTATTCACTTCCCTATTTTAAGGCTTAAATATTTTTCTTTCCATCACCTGTGTCCTGTTATCCAAAATAACACGATAACTATTCCAAAATACCCCTATTTCGCACGAGAAAAAGAAGATATGCATTTCAAACAGTCCTGCTGTCCCGAAATCGAGCATACTTTCTACTGCCATGAAAACTACAACTCGAAGGATCAATGCACGATTCAATTGCTTGAAAATCAGCCTATAAGCAACTGTCGAAAACACCATATCGAATTATTACAACCTCTTGCAGAGCAAGTAACGCAAGAAAAAGTGCTTGTCTTACCTGTTAAAAATACATTGGTATTTACTAAGTGTAAAATTGATCGATACCTTAAGATCGATATTCCAACACTTATAGAAATTCCAGCTACTTGCCAAATTACCTTGGGCAAGAAAAATTATTACAATAATGTCAAAATTATGAAAGGAAAGCCTTTGCTTTTACCTGAAGTCTATATAGAAGAATTGAAACCAATTACGTCACACAGATTAGCGAACATCATTCAAATTAACTTGCGAGACCTATATCAATTAAAACAGATAAAAACTGAACTACAACCCATTGAAGAAATTGGCCAGCCTATGTCTACAAGTTTAATAACTAATATTATTGTTATTATACTTTTTCTAGCGGTCATTGCAGCCCTAATGATCGTTTTTAGAAAGAAACTTCTACCGAAATGTCAACGTAATCAATCCGAACCCAATAAATCCAATCAGCCGGAGCAAACTCATTCCATTATGTTTGCTTCTTGAGGAGGGAGGAGTTATATACAATGATTTCTACGTAATAAGGATAGGACACCGTGAGATCTCGATGTCAGCATTTGGCCACGATGGTACTATGAAGAGACCGTGAGATTAACATTGTCAGCTTTTCGGATACGAACCTATAAAGTCTTAGTTTTAAGTAATATGATTATTTTTGTTGTAACTGCTGCCGCAGAAATATCTTAATTTTCGATTGTATTTTGAAAATAAAGTTTTTAAAAAGTCGTCTCGTCTTCGCTTGAACATAATTCCGGCAAAACTTTGGAATTATGCAAGAGAGCAAATCGGGCGATTTCAATGGCAATCTCGGGGAACATTCGTACCCATTCAAACAGGTTGTATTCATTTCGATGCCAGCGCTAACAACTTTTGAAATATTTACATATCCATTTACTTATTTGAATATTATTTAACTATCAGAGCCCTCTTCTTCCGAAATGGAAGTACTCAAAGCTAATGAGGACAATAGACAACAAGCAGATCATGCCAATTTTGAAATAGCTTTACGTTGATATCTTGTATCAGTCAACTTTGGGAATGGTACTAACACAAAAACTTAACGGTGTTTACAAGCTACATTGCGCTAACAGAAAAAAATAAAGCAGACAAAGAATCTAGCTCATTATCAATAAGTGTAAAAGGTATATTTCCTGGTTTCCCGATCCAGAATCTTTTTCAGTAGACACTTTCACTATTCGGTGGAACAAATATTACTTTTTTTGCTTGCGCTACTCAAGTGTTGAATAAATCTATTCAAGAAAAAGCGGTTAGTTTTGTAGTTGTGTCACATTGACATTCACAACCGTGGTACCCTATTTTTAAAAGAATGTAGGGAGTATATAGGCGGTTTTGTTTCAAAACGCAATGATGTAATGTAAAAAAACGATTAGAATCTCGTGATTCAAAAAATCAAACGCTTCTATGAAATCTAATAATACTAGAGCAATTATTTTATTATTATTAAAATATCACCTGTCAAATGTGCTATTGCAGTTGTACAGTTAGAAAACCAGATTCCTTTTTCGGTAATACAAAAAAAAATTATTAAGGTGAACGCGAATTTTAGTGTCTATGGTTCTCTCCAAAGAATGTTTGATATGATGCGCAGTATTTCAATTATTACTTACTTTATTATTTTTTATTTTATTATTTTGTTAATTAGTATTGAAGCTTAGACTTTTTAAAACTTTATTTTTGGTACCACATTTCATTTTATGTACATAATGTAAGTAATTGAAAAAATTTGATGTGATTATTACCATGAATTTTTAGTTTATATTGGCCGCAGGTCTCTCAACGACTTGTATTGTCCTTTTAATGTTCTCGTTAATTCAAGCGATCAATGGTGATCTTTCCGCGACCCCTTCGCTAACTAAGATTGATATCATCCACACGAAGTTAGCCGCGCGTCCACAATCGCTTAATAAAGGCAATTAGTGGACCGAAGTCCAAAGCCGAAATCAAATTTCCGTTTGGTCCGCTAGGACACATCCGAACTGTCCGGTATCCGGGGTGTAATTTTAAATTCATTACCGAATAACTTTCTGTTGTTTCGTCCTCGGGATTAGTCCAAATTGGTTAATCGAATTTCGAGTTCGGCCGGGGCAAAGTAGTCGCTCGACCCCCCGGGGAACTAGGTGAGAATTCGCAACTGTGTGAACGATGACTCGGGGTTATTTGAGTTTGTTTTGTTATAGCCCGCCTGTATTTGCTCTTGTGTTTTTGGTTTTGAAATATTATTAGAAATCAATAGAGTTATTTAATTCTTAAAGCATTTCACACAGCATACTTCACATGTATTGTTTTATTTTTCTTAGGAATAAAAAAATTCAATTGTCCATTTTGTAAATTGGAATTTTCAAGTACCTCAACAAAAAAAAGACATATAAAAACAAAAAGTCAGATAACCCAAGATAAAATTTCTTCGAGAATTATAGCTGACAGTTCAGCTGAGCATATTTTTTTTTCCAATAGGTAATGTTCTTATTGCAGAATATATATTTATTAATTTTAGGATCTGATACTGTAAAGTTTGTTGAAACTTTGTACAAGACTAAATAAGATTGTTCACAATTTTATAAAGAAAAAAGGAAAAAGAGACCTTAATTAATAAAACTGTATTTTCATTCATTTTCATACGAAAAGTAATGTCTGACCCTATTATATCTAAAATTAAGGTTTTTAAAAAAATTTTTTGGACACGCTCCATCCGGTCGACATACTTGCGAAAGAACGGATTCCATATGGTGTATGAGTATTTCAAAATGGATTTGATGACGATGTTATAAATTAGAATGACTGATTTGTGATTGCGAAAGCCGTTGGTGTTATTTAACACAAAGCCAAGATTTCTCAAGCTTTCTTTACTCAGAATCAGTATGATGCTTAATTCTTTAACTTGAGTAACTCTCTTAAGTTTTATATTGTCTAATTTTAAGTCAATATTAATAGGTTCGTTTTTCCTTGTAAACGGTATTATTTGGCATTTATCGAGATTTAAAAAATATGTGATCATTCTGGAGTCCTAAAATTTTTCTTTCTTTCCTTACTTTTAAGACATCTACAATTAGGCTGTTACTGGACGTTGAAAACCAATATCAAATATAAAAATATTGAAAATTGGGGGTCCCTGATGTGACCTCGAAGGACTCCTTTCACGATTTCACGACTTTTCACCATTCACAACCACAAACGGATTCCTATCGGTTAGGTAACTTTGCAACAAATGAAGCAAGTCGCCGTGCACACCGAAATTTCCAAGCTTCTTTACTAGAGTAGGGTGATGATGCTTGTCAAAGAGCCTTAGAAAAGTCAGTATACACGGCACGGTTCTCAAACCCATTCTGAATAGAAAAGTTAATATTATGGATAAAAAGGTTTCTAAGTACGGAAAGTTTCTTGTAAAATCCATGTTGATTCACGTCTTTGTCATTTTTTATCACAATTAGATACCTTATTACAATTAGGTATGCTGTTACTTAGGAACTTTCACGTATTATTTTGCTCAATAGCAATAAAAGCTCAATTATAAAACATAAGATGTGTATTATTTATTGAATTTGCTATTCGAGTAAAAAACACCAATAAAAGTATTATAAACATATTGTCACAATTATTTTAAATCCTCTCAATCCAGTTTATAATAAATTAATGTTTATTCATCAAAAATAAGCAAACTAAACGATCACAATTATAAGTTCACCAAATATTATGTCCGGTTTTGATCAGTAACAGCTAATGTAAGGCACCGGACATTACCAATAGGTTAGCCAATAGATAAAGAAAATGTTTATAAAAGAAAACATAAATAATAAAAATTATAAGGTACGGTAAACTATGAAAGAAAATATTGATTAACTAAACATCAGCAATAATAACATATACAATTACAGTTTTATTTGGATGGAAACATTTAATTGGTTTTTGTCAATTATGATTTTGTCAGAGTCTGAGGCAGATGCGTCTAATTCAAAATCGCTTAGATTACACAAATTATGTAACTTAATAAGTAATAGGTTCCAAAATGAGTCCAAAAAGAACAGAAATGGAAGAATATCTTGACAAATATACAATTGATCAAAAAACAATTCAATATTTAAAGACATTTTATTATATTTAATTATGTCAAATTGTCGAGATATTCCACCTCCATTTAGGAAAGGAGTTAACTAAACTTCTCTGTTAGTCATACCTGAATAATAATATAATGTTTTAAAATACACATCTGCAGGTTACTGCTCCATCTTGAATCCACCCGGTAATCGTTAAACAATTACCTACGAAAAGTTTCGCGCAATGTCCATCGCGTCCATATTTCCTCCGATTAAGCGTTTTATTGCGAAACTTGGAACGCCCGAGCCATTATTAAGTCGAATTCCCCAACTTACCTTAGGATGGTCTCTAACAGGAACGACGACTCTAACGGCTACTTTTATCGGTTTGTCTCTCGTAATGTCAACCATTCGCCGACTCTCCGCACCCTTGCCGTTTCCTGCAACGAAATTCGTCCTTTGAAACGAGCAAAGTTTCGTTATTTGTCGCCGACGTCTCGTTTTAATTTAGCCGTGTTATTTAATTTGTGAAGGGATGGGAGAAATTTCGATTCCGTCCTAGTGATTTATTTATTGAGGTATTTTTCTATTTATTCAATACAACGCCCTTCGGTAACAACCCAATTACAGAGTAAGGTACAAACCTTAACATCACTAACAAACATCATCTGATATCATATCAAAATGAGATTTCTTTTTTTTAAAGCTGTCCCGAAAGGGATATTTTGCGGCCCAATATGAGGCCACAAAAATTAGCATAATATTCAACAAATTTGGTAAACGGTATTTGAATCACGAATGATTGAAAAAGTTTATCAATGTGTTGCATACTATATACTTTTTCTACAAGGGTGTTAGTTTTTTTGGTAAACTTTTGCAGTTCAAAAACTCTACAATTACCTCTTGGAACTCTGATATGTATTAAGTTAGTCAGATTGGTAAGCTTGAAGCTTAGTAGGCATTTAAAAATTGCAATGATAATGAGGCAGAGCTCCATCTAGCTGAAGCCGAAGCCACGGCGATGTTCTAATATTTAAAGGGACTTCTAACAATTTAGACAGTTGATATAAAAGAAAGTCTAAAAACGTTCTACCAATTAGCCCACACCACTCGTTAAGGAATTTACAAATATTACAAGTTGACTACCTCAATAAATTATCTGTCATTTTTAAATACCACAGGCAACTAGATGCAATAAAACATTTATTTAGATAAGATTAAAAACGACAATTTCGCGTATGCTGCCAAAGAAGAAACCCTAACACCAATCGATAGGTAATTGAAAAATATTATAGCCACTTGTTGTCTAAAATTATTGAAAATACCTTTCAAATTTAGGTATCACGAACCCTTATTGAAACACGCACTTATTTTGATGGCAAAATTCAAAAGAGCAAAAACCTGTATAGTATGAAACCACTTTAAAAAATAACCAGCTCTAATGGAACAGAAGCTACAAAATACTTCTTATAAGTTATACGACATGAGTTCGACTGGAGAAATGTAATATTTTTCATATACAATCTGCTAAAAATAGTTTGCTAGTAAGGAGAGCAAAAATTTAAAAAAAAAAACAGGAATCGCTTAACATTAGGGCAATTTAATCAAGATGAAGCCACATAATGGTAAATTTAAGTATAATATATTAAAATATATTTTTTTGTTCGCCTGTTCGTCGGGCCAGTCATCTTTGTCTCTCTGTGCAGTAAAAATTTAGATTAGTTGTGTAACCCTTAACATTTTGCTTGGTTTCAATATCTTATCGGATTTTTCTAGCATTTTTGCATATTTTCCAGCGAATACCTTAAAATTTCAGTTTGTTAACATTCCCATCAATTGTAAGAGTACCGAGTACAAAGTACAAAGGAAGGACGGTAGGGCTTATTAACTATGTAATCTAGTATGTAAAATTGAGTTTTTCAAGATCTTGTATTTTATTTGAAAATGCATTAAAAGGATTTTTGATACGCTTTTGTATATTCTGACTCAATAAAATAAAATCTCCATGCAAGCGATAAAAATTTCCGACAAAAGAAAAGGTTAAAATGTTTTGTTTTCCTAAATCTCTGGCCTTACTTTTACCTCGACTAATTTAGATATACAGAAAGGCCGGCACATGCAATGCAGGGTAAAAACATTGCCAAATTAGCAGCACTTTAGTAAAAGGATTACTGAGCTAAATTGGCTTGCCAAAATTTCTTTCAAATCGTGATTGTAATTAGAATGAATATGGAGAATAATTTTTGTCGATCTTTTTCACGCATGATTTGTTTAAGATTAGTTATTATTTTATATTAGAAAATTTAACATTGATAAAGTTATAGCCCCGTAAAGTTGTTATTCGCTTGGGGTAACAGGTATTTATTATAATTGAAATAAACATGTGTTTTATGGTTAAACTTTACTGTAAATTTCGTTGAGAAGATTGGAATTTAGGTAACAATAACTTTATTGAAACACAAACTTATTTTGGTAGTAAAATGCAATATAATTCTTTTATACTTTTATCACTTTTGAGACAACCTGTATAGTATGAAAGTAATTTTAAAAAGTAACCATAATAGGACTTTACATATCCCAAAAGCAAAAATTTTATTTTGACCTCAATATTCCGTGGCGTATAACGCGAACAACGACCAAAGACGAAGTTGCATCTCCTTTATCTGGCAACGATAGATTCGATTGATGCCATAGGCGTTTTTGTTTGTTCTGTTTGATTCGGGCTTTGGAGAAACCGATGAAATCGTGTTTCACGAAAGTAGCTACGCTCCTCACTAAACTCGAGATCTCGGTAACGGTAGGTCATACGGGGTCGCCGTTGGTACACATGGATTTAGCGTCGAAAAAGAAACTTTTTTTTCTGTTCTCTGTTTCTCCGTAACGGACATCCGGCGGATTTTTGATTCCGGATAACTTTCCAACCGTTAAAACTACGGACTTCAAATTTTCCTCCGTTCTAATACTAGACGATCCGCAGCGTCTTGCAAAATGTTAAGGCTATCCGACAGCCGCGGCCATTTGACTTGAGATTCGACTGGAAGTCAGGTTTAATATTTTTAAATATTGCTTTTCGAAATAAAAAAATCTCCCAAACTCATTATCCGATAGATTAAATTATCAAATCAGCGGGTGCCAGAGATTCGGGTCAATAATTCTGTTTATGCCACTTTGTCAAAAATGTACCGGAAATGTCGGTTATCGGCAAATAACCTAAAATTCCTTAAAATTTGTCTTTTTCCGGCGGAAATTAATAGTTCTAACTCTAAAACAGTTGCAAACAGCGCCGTTGGACGTAAACGTTTTGGTAGGTAGCTGAGAGAGCTGCAATGTTTGCATTTACTGTTCTCGTCAATCACACAGGGTGCGCGAAATACGCTTTAGAAAGCGTTTGGTTAAAATTAAATATTAGCTTATAACTTTATTACCGCAATTGTAATTTAAGTTTAATGGTTGTGTAGATGGTCATGTGCGCTATCATTTCATGCATTTACTATTTTCACATGTTGTACAAGTCGCGTGATATATTAAACCAACACCCTCAAGTCCCTGATCAAAACGATAATACTGGCAATAAATAGGTTGTATACACACCAAATCAAACATTCGATGCACGTTGGTTAGCTCCGTGGTTAAGGCGTCGAACGCGATACGGAATGTTTCGGGTTGAAACGCAATTGCAGGTTAATTTTTTTATATCTTTAAATATTTAAATATTTAATTTTATTACATTCTTCTTCGTGACTGCTTAAATTTGGTAAATTATTGTAAGTGAAGTTTTTTGGGACGAAAAGTAAGGGGTGTTCGATGCATAGAACTTTAAGTTGCAATAAAATAAGTATGGATTATTCGATTGACATGAATTTTATTTATCCGAAAGATAATCGTGGCATTACATTTTAAATATGATTTCTGGCATATGACCGCCACATCTGGCGCGGATGCAGTCCAATCTGGACGTCCAAGTAACGATGACTTTTTTCAACATTTGTGGCCGTATATTTGCAATAACACGGCGAATGTTGTCTTCCAAATGGTCAAGCGTTTGTGGCTTATCCCGCATAGACCAATGACTTTACATAGCCCCACAGAAAGTAGTCTAGCGGTGTTAAATCACAAGATCTTGGAGGCCAATTCACAGGTCCAAAACGTGAAATTAGACGGTCACCAAACGTGTCTTTCAATAAATCGATTGTGGCACGAGCTGTGTGACATGTTGCGCCGTTTGTTGAAACCACATCTCCTGGACATTATGGTTATTCAATTCAAGAATGAAAGAGTTATTAATCATAGCTCTACACCGATCACCATTGACTGTAACGTTCTGGCCATTACTGTTTTTGAAGAAGTACGGACCAATGATTTCACCAGCCCATAAAGCGCACCAAACAGTCAGTTTTTCTGGACCTAACGGTGTTTCGACATACACTTGAGGACTAGCTTCGCTTCAAATGCGGCAATTTTGTTTGTTGACGTAGCCATTCAACCAGAAGTGCGCTTCATCGCTAAATAAAATTCGCTAATGAAAATCGAGATCAACGGCAATCTCGTTTTGGGCCCTTTCGACGAATCTACGCCTTATTTGATGATCGTTTGGCTTCAATTCTTGCACAAGTTGGATTTTGGATCCTTCCGCAAAATCTTCCATAAAGTGGATGGACACAGATCCAATTCCTGTGCTTGATGGCGGATGGACTCATTCGGGTCTTCCTCAATGCTAAGCTCTACAGCCGCAATAGCTTCTTCTGTAGGTACCCTACGACCTCTCTGGGAATGCGAGTTACCAATAAGAGTAAACGTGGTGCGAAAATGTTGCATGGTTAATCGAATTAACTGCTCTGATGGACGATTTTGTCGACGATAAAATGGACGTAGTGCGTGATACGTATTCCGCAAAGAACCATTATTTTCGAAATAAAATTGCACTATTTCCAAGCGTTGTTCAGGCGTGAGTCTATTCATGATGAATTGCCAAACCAAACTGAGAATAAATCACCTGACAGCTGTTAAATCGGTAGCCATCTTGAACAGTAATGCCAACTTAAAGTTCTATACATCGAAAAAAAAACACAAATTATAAATGTTTTCCAGTTCAGGACAAATACTTATTTCTTTTTCCAACACTATAAAAATTTACAATTTTTGTTTTAGATATATTTGAGCAAATGCAGCGTTGCCAAATCTACAGGAAATTATTAGCAATTTTATTTTTTCAAATGGGGCACCCTATATTTTCTTTCAAATTCGGATCCTTTGGAACATTTTAAATAACTTTTTGGATTTACGTATATGAACTAAAAATTATTTTATTTTTCTTGATTTCTTGAGTGTAAAAAAATCGCATGATTTAGTGTAGTTGGCACTGGTGTTCCGATAATGTGAGAAACTATCCTCTATGGTTTCTTGAAAGTTCCATAGTGGTTCGCAGGAGGATAGAAAAATA